GGACTCTGCCTGGTGGCATTAATCGTATTAATCGTCAAGTGCCAAAAAGTAATCGATTGTTTTTCTGACGATTAATTGCACACGACACGATTATGCCCAACCCTAGTACGTGCTCACAAAGGGTGTGTTTGAGATTTGTCTAATTATTAGTTTATGTGTGCAGGTTGCACTGGCCCACCGAGAACAGGTGTCTCTCTTTGTTGAGCTGGATGATGTGGCCGAAGAAGACCCCGAGCTGGTCGAGAGCGTCTGTGAAAATGCTAAACGCTACGTTGGCCTGTTCGCTGACGCCGTGCACGAGCTGCTGCCGGAATACAAAGAGAAAGACGTACGGAGAGTTTTATTTTAGTGGATATTTTCTGCTTCTAACATTCARTGTAAAATTTCTTATTTGTTAAAAGTAATGTCTTTTTTTTTTTTAGATTGTGGCCAAAGATTCTTTGGACGTGTACATTGAGCACCGGTTGATGATGGAACAAAGGGGCCGTGATCCAGCTGACACCAGAGATGCCCGTAACCAGTACCCACCTGAGCTCATGAGAAGATTGTATGTAGTCAGATTACGAGGTTTTTTTTTCTTTATCTTTTTGTTTACAGCAGGGTTCCCGTGGATCCTTAAAAGTCTTTAAAGGCCCTGAATTCATCAATTTGAAAATAAGGCCTTAATTAGCCTTAAAATGTCTTRAATCAATCTTCAGAAGTCTTAAAAATGTAACACATTGTAATTAAGATGACTGTAATAAGTGTTGACTGAAATACTCACAGACATTCCCCTTTGACATCACTTCCTGTTACTTCATATGCAAATATCTCAGCAACTGTCCATCTGAGCAATGTGACATTCGTTTATAATACGTTTATAATGTTGCCTTTCCAAAAATGCATTCATATTTCTTACAAAACCTTGATGTCACAGGCACTTTAACATTTTATCTATAGCCAGCAGGGGTTGAGAACTCACTGTGGGTCCTAAAACTACAAATTTTGGGTTGTTAGATGATTTTCAGGAATTAAATTAGGTTTAAAACTGATTGAAAGGATGTTTTTGCTATATTTGACAAAAAAACAGACAGGGATAAAAACAATTGGTCTRTTAGCAGTATTTGAATAATTCAACCAAAAGTACTTTGATTCAYGAGTTTCTGTTGTTTTTGTTATTTTGTCATTTGTGTTTGTGAAATTGGTCTTAAATTTGATTTCACTTGGCATTTTAAAAAAAGTCTTAAATGTCACTTGCCTAAACTGTAGGAACCCTGTGCACACATTTCTCATAAACTGTCTTGTTTCTGCAGTGAGCTTTACTTCAAACCACCCAGCACCTCGAAACCCAAAGTGGTACGYGACATTCGGGCTGAAAGCATCGGCCACCTGGTCACAGTTCGAGGCATCGTGACTCGYGCCACCGAGGTGAAACCCATGATGGCTGTGGCTACGTACACGTGTGACCAGTGTGGCGCTGAAACCTACCAACCAGTGAGATTTAATTAGCTATTAAAGCATTTTTGAATATTTTAGGGTTATTACTCCAGTCTCATCRTCCTTCCTTTGCGGTCTTCAGATCCAGTCTCCCACCTTCATGCCCCTCGTCATGTGTCCCAGCCAAGAGTGCGTCACCAACAAATCCGGAGGCCGGCTCTACCTGCAAACCAGAGGCTCCAAATTTGTCAAATTCCAGGAGCTGCGTATTCAGGAGCAYGTAAGGAACTACAGGCTGTTGGATCGCGTGTGGTGGGAGTCCATTTGTTAATCAGCTYTTGTCTGATGTTTTGCAGAGTGACCAGGTGCCTGTTGGCAATATTCCAAGGAGCATGACGGTGTACGCACGAGGTGAAAACACACGCCTCGCCCAGCCGGGAGACCACGTAGCCATCACAGGAGTCTTCCTCCCTCTGCTGCGCTCGGGCTACAGTCAGGCCGTTCAGGTGTTGTTGGTGCAAAGATCACTAATTTGTAGCTGTCTGTGAATCATCTAACAGAGCGTTAAAGGGATCCCCGATTAGTTGTAACATTATACTTTATTTGATAAACATTTATTTTAACTGTAAAATAACGATTGTAAAAAATACTGTAGGCTGTTTAGTTTTGTAAATTTAAAAATATATAT